ACAGTGTATGTTAGTTCAGACTAGTAGTTAAATGTTTCCTGGAGAGATTTATCATGCTATTACCTACACAGTGTATGTTAGTTCAGACTTGTAGTTAAATGTTTTCTGGAGAGATTTATCATGCTATTACCTACACAGTGTATGTTAGTTCAGACTTGTAGTTAATTTTTTCCTGGAGAGATTTATCATGCTATTACCTACACTGTGTATGTTAGTTCAGACTTGTAGTTAAATGTTTCCTGGATAGATTCACCATGATATTACCTACACAGTGTATGTTAGTTCAGACTTGTAGTTAAATGTTTCCTGGAGTTTAGACTTGTAGTTAAATGTTTCAAATACCCGTAACCGAACATGCTCGTCCTTTCAGTCTTGGAGGCGTTATGTGATGGTCAATCCCACTGTTCGTTGGTAAAAGAGTAGTCCAAGAGTTGGTGGTGGGTGTTGATGACTAGCTGCTCTCCGTCTAGTCTGTCACTGCTAAATTAAGGGCGGCTAGCGCAGATGGCCCACGTGTATCTTTGTGCGAAATTCTGAAACAAAAATATATAAAAACGAAATATTGTGTGTGTTATACTGAATTTCCTCCTCATACGTGTGTTAATATATTTTCATGTTTATATGTTTAAAGATATTAATCATCTTTAAAGTAAATTAATCGGAAATTTAAATAAACAAGACAACCAAGTTAATTGGAATACAATATTTTATATTTGTGTTTGTGCGATTCAAATACATAGCTATACTTATCAGGCAGGTGGCAGCACTGTTTATGTAGGGATGGCTCGGAGTGTTCATCAAAATGGTATTTTAAATATCTCCTCAATAGGTCATCAGAACTTTACAATACAATACAGTGTTTCCTTCTATAACAATATCTATGTAATGACTGAGTCACAAGTTCTGGGAATGTCTGTAAATATCGTAACAAAAAGTTTGTATTTCTTGTTCTTCTTTTTTATTACATGATAACTCAAAAACCAAAACAATGGTGTCAACCAATTTCATCGATGTGACAGTTTCGAACGGTGTATCCACTTTTATAAGTATTATTAATAACTAGTTGTAATTTAAAGAAAAATCATAATTCTATTGTAAACGATGTTATCATTACCCCTTGAAGTTAGCTTTCTTACAGAAATTTGGTGTTCCTTTAAAAAGCGTAAGTACAGGGTGAAACAGGAATTACCAGCCAATAATAGCTAAACAATAAATATTACAGTTGGAACCTCATTGTATTTAGAGCTTGGTTATAAATACAACCTTCCTTTGTCTGTTGAAACATTGTATTAAATAACAAGCAAACAAGTAAAGAAAAAACTTTTCCAAAAAGGAAGTAAATGTAGGGATGGCTAATATCAATCCTTCAAAAACAATGGAAACAAGATGGTAGGGATGGCATTTGCATCATCCCTACGTAATAACACAGGCAAGAATTAACATATAGCAATATATGTGAGTATTCAATCACAACTGAGTTTAATTTATCCTATTTTTGTCTGTTAACATTCTACTACACTGTGTGCCTGTGTCCGCTGTAGGCTTAATTCTGTCTGTCTTAGTATTACGATTAAACCTAGATCTGTATATATATATACGTATACATATCAATAGTTTGAGAGTGTCGAACGTAATCTCTATGATAAAATTATAATTAAACAAACTGGATGTTTATGCAGTTGGGTTCTACTGACGTCATCGTGACGTGATAGCCCGTGATTTTCATGTATCATCCTCCGCATATATTTTATAATTTACTTTAAAAGAAATCAAAGTCTAACTATTTACGTGTTTGTATGTTTTATTTCTATTAATAAAAGGGTGATCAGATATTGATCACAATCTCTGACTTGTAGAATGAATAAAAATTACCAAGTTCACAAAACGAAAAAAAATTTCAACTTTCTACACTACAAATCAAGACCTATTTTTCAAAATTCAGCAAACAATCTGTTTGTGAATATTCGTGTATAACTATCACAAATGTTAACTTTCTAATGTAGTTTTGGGGAGTGGAATGCCCCCCCTCTTTTTACACAACATAGAAAAACGAACACCCCTATAGTGAAACATTAAACCTTGCATCTGTACTTCATCAATTTTTTCAAACGTTCAAGCAGTAGAGATTAGGCTTAACAAAACTTATTACGTTTCCCAGTACAAAGTTTCAGTTCATCTAGGGCTAATGTTTATGCAGTAAGCCTATTTTTCTATCAGTGATTTATATTGACGGTTTACTTATGTACTATAAAGAGTTGTGTTACGTGTCAACCTAGTAGAAATACGGTGCTATCTAGTGCTAATTACCACAGATATCTTCAGTTTTCCCATATTTTTTCTTTCCTCATCATAGTACGTTCTTCAACAGAAATGATCCAATAAAGAGAGGATATGACAATACAAATGCCTCCTGGTGGTTCAGCGGTAAGGGTCTGAGCATATAATACAAGAAATCGGGCTTCTATACCGACGGTGGGCAGAGTATACATACTGTGTAGCTTTGTGCTTTACAACATTGTTTGTTCAAACAAAGCTTTGTTTATTTGTTTGTTCTTTTTATAAATCGTTCAGGTGTATTTGTTTCCATTACTTAAAATGATGTTAATAACGTACTGCATTCATGAAAACTGTTATTTATAATATCGTTCTTACACAAACAAGGCGGTCTTTATGATACACTCGTGTTGCTCAAGCGTCAGAACGGAATCGTATTCTTCTCACGCCAGTAAGATTCACTAAAATAACTTTGGTTACAGGTGATGAGTAATAAAGGGTTTTTAGACTGGCAGTACGTATTAATTGTTTAATATTTATTGTCTTGTCTTTAAGCGCCGACCTTATTTCTATGCGTAAGTCGAACTGTCACCAACTCGAGATGACATTATCTGATGTTGCAGTATTGACGTGTTTACACTAGGTTGGTCCTTTGCCAAGTAGAACTCTGGTCTGAGAAAAGTACGATAAACCTTTTGACGACACTTGCTCGCCCTCCAAGCTGGTACCCTCTTTTCATTCTTATCTACTGGCCAGAAACGAGGCCATGTACATGGCTCCATTACCATGGTAATGGAGGCCTACAAGCCTCATATCCACGGTTAACAGTCTTCTGTAGAGTGATGGTATGTAATACTGGCTTAGAAGGATCGACTTAAAATTACTGGTTTTTTTTTCTACAAAAGGAAAATATCACGTGGGCATGCCAAGAATATCGTTTTCCCCTATATTTAGTCAGAATTTATAGGCTGTGTTCTGACACTTGAGAACTTATTAGGAATATAACGAACGCGTCTCTGCCCTACTTAATGTCGTGTGAGAGCATTCCGTCCGTTGGAACTTCATATGTCAACTACATTTTTGATTTGAAAGTGCTACAGAACTTTACCTTCTACCACTAAAGATGGAGAATAGAATATGAACGATGCTACTTACGATTTGTAAGTTTAATTTTTCATCAAAGTTCTTCGATACTCTCGCTTCCAGATACATTTATCACACACACGTATATATTTTAAAATTCAGACTCGTAACTAGGTTTCGTAAGAATCTTTTGAAATTTATATATACCCACACACACGATATTGTATACTTGAAGAACATCAAACGAAGTAATTGATCAAAACTGTGAATGTAGTGCCACCTATCAGCTAATAAATTTAACATTATACTTTATAGTCCATTAACTTTTGTACTTCTTTAAAATCTCGTATATATTGAAATTTACAATAGAGTTAATAATATTGGAGATCTAACAAAAGAGAATAATTCTGCTTTCACGTTGTATTGTTTGGTAAATCAACTCGTTTTGAATTTCCATCTGACAAAGACTGGTATTTTTCGGGGTGATGCGGGCGTACTTTCTTTAATGATTTGTATTTAATATCTTGTGATTGTTATGTATCGCTGGAAACAGTTAAGTGTTAAAGAAGGAAAATAATTCGTTGATGAAACGTTATTCCGTGGCCAGGTGGTTAGAGCGGTTCGAATCCCCGTCCCGCCAAACATGCTCGCCCTTTCAGCCGTGGGGGCGTTATAAAGTTCCGGCCAATCCCACTATTCGTTGGTAAAAGAGTAGCCCAAGAGTTGGCGGTGGGTGGTGATGACTAGCTGCCTTACATCTAGTCTTAAACTGCTAAATTAGGGACGGCTAGCGCAGATAGCTCTCGTGTAGCTTTTCGCGAAATTAAAAACAAACAAACAAACGTGACGGAGTTAATTTTTTAAACATCACGATTTTTCAGATCTTAACAATACTGCCCCATGATTGAGTGAATGTTTTAAACACCACCGTATCTCAAGTCCTAACAATAAATACCTCGTACGTAAATGTTCTACAAATACACTTCTTATGTTGATTTGTGGTTTAAATGCTAATATTTAAGAACGGACAAAAATAAAGTCTCTTGAACAAATGGTATCAGTGTCGGCTGATGACGTTTTGTTGTGGTCTACATTATCATTGGCTGATTTATTCTATATAAAACTATGTACTTTAGTCATTTTTCTACGTCCAGATGTATGTTTTAAAGAAATTTTCTAATTAAATTATTTTTGACTTAACAGATGTCGCCACTTTGCTCGAAGCTCTTGCCGTTAGCTGTCCACACTGTGAAAGAACGTTCTCCGGTAGTCAAGTGCTTTACGCTCTACGAGATCACTTGAAAGCTGCTCACCAACAAGTGCTGGAGGATACAGAGAAGAAAGATGATACCACCCACGAGTGCAACAAATGCACTGCTTCGTTCTCAGATAAGGCCCATTTGGAAAAGCACGAACTTTTTCACACAGAATCAAGCCAGGTTAGGCTTAAGATTAACCCAGAGTTGCAGGCTTCTTTGTTCAGCAAGAGCAGTGGCCTTTTCAATGAGAGAACGCATAGTTTTCCAAAGAATAAAAAATATTTATTGTGAAGCGAGTCTAGACATGTTCACCAGTGTAAATCGCATCATTTTTAGTATTTAGTTATTACGCAAGAAATGTCGATAATTATATATTAAAAACAAAAATACAATATGATAAATTAAAGTTTACTTTTTTTGCTATTTTTTTAAGACTCATCCTAAATTATTCTATATTTAAAGTTATGAAACATCTAAAATAAACACAATTCCGATAGTTGGATTGTTTTTGAGCCCAAGATGACTTTATATATAATTTTATTAATGATACTTTGTTTAGCGAATTTCCATCAAGTTGTGAGGCTAAAATTACGAAACACCAGAATATATTTTAATAAATTATTCTTCGCACGTTTGCACAAGATTTCATGGGTTTTTATGTACGATTTTCTGTTGTGCTGACCTGCTTAATCGTCTCATACAGCAACGCCTAAACGACAGCGATGACTCGTCAGGCCTCCGAAAGTTCCGGTGTCCAGAGTGTGGAAAGGCCTTCAAGTTTAAACACCATCTGAAGGAACATGTCAGGATTCACAGTGGTGAAAAACCATTCGTTTGTCCAAACTGTAGCAAGCGATTTTCTCATTCAGGTTCTTATTCCTCTCACATGACCAGTAAAAAGTGTCTTATAATGAATTTGAAGGTATGATAGGAAAACACGTTATTTTGTAAAACTACTAGTTCGAAACGTATATATATATATATATAAATAGCTTATAAACTATTGATTACATTAATTGTTTATGGGCGATTGAATCGGCACTGTAAAACAATAACGAATTAAATATCGCGTTACCGTTATCGGTCGAGGTTGTCAAATTATTGTCGTAGCTAATAATGTCTGTGGTAATAGCACCCAAATTCGTTGGGGATATCCCATCTACCAGACAAAATCCAAACGCCGATGTTAATCTAGTCAGCCGTCGTGGAAACG